CCGGCAAACAACTTGTGACAAAATGTGAAGTGACAGAGACCTAGGCACTGGTTTGACGGGCTGAGATCTTCGTGTTTATGTGCCACATCCGGTCCTTAAAATTAGGGTCCCCTCGAAATTCTCCAAAATAGTACGGCACCCTTATAGAAATGGCCCTAGTTTAGAAAACCACCCACATAGCTTCCTGGTCTGGTTCGGGGTCTGGAGGTCCTGAGAACGGATTGAAGTTTCTGTCGGAATATGAAGTTCTCTCCGGCTTCAAAAAGAGGCGCTGTGGAACACAAATCCATACAACTCTGCAGCTTACGTCCGAAGAGTTTAAGGCTTTCGGGTGTTGGGTTCGGCTCTAGTGTTTAAGGGTAAAGCTTGACCCCGCGACGATATTAGAGCACACTCCAAGTAAAACCCCAACACTGAAACCGTACCTCCTTCGAGGTTGAGGGTGTTTGGGTATTGAGGTGTTAAAGATTGCAGGGTTCTCAAAGACGTGCTGTAATGTCTTCTGGACTGAGGAAGGCTTGAGTCCTAGGTGACTGGACGCCAAAACTAGGTTTATTGCAGGGGCCCGCCCACTATTCCTGAACCCCCCCTCCATTGTGTAATGTATATTATACTAAATTATAACAGGGAACCCCGAATAGTGTTGGTAACTATTTAGGCCCCTATATTCATCCATTTTGGCTCCCTATGAAACACGCTACCCTGCACCCTGGGCCTTAACACCCAAAAGCCATAGATCCCCCCACCTCAGGTTCGGACTAATTTGGTGAGGGTTTTGGGGTACATGGTAGTGTACTGCTAACACGGAACCCTAGGGAACTCTTCTGAACTTACCCCCCGCGCCCCCCCCCCCTTGAAACTAGGGCAGAGTCCGCGATAAGCCTAGACACCGTAAAAGTCTTACTGAAAACACCAGGTGACTTAGTAAGTAGGGTTGTGATTGCGGTGACGGTAGTTACGTAGCGCCAACTAAGGCGCGTCTAACGCAACTTAAATGCCAAGTCCTCTGATCCCGAAATCCCTATAGAACCCGTATAACTCCTACACCCCTAAACCCCAAAACACCTAAACCCTTCAACCCTAAACGCCTAAACCCTAAACACCTAAACCCTAAGTACCTAAACCCCCAAACCCTAAACCCATATACAAACCCTGATCCTCCAAGCACCCTAAACCCTCAAGCCCTGAACCCTAAACCCCTAAACCCCTAAACCCTAAATTCCTAAGCCCTTACACATCCTCTAAGTAGGGTTTCTAGAGACTCCAATATCCCTTAATTCAGGAATATGCCTAAATCATATTAGGGGTCCTACTATAATTTAAGGTATATTCCTTAATTAAGGGATATTGGAGTCTCTGGGAAGTAGGGTTTGTGCCAAGGCGCAGCGTGCGAACCGCCTTCTCGGCCATCTGCTGGCTTTTGAAGGTGGCGGTGGCCACCAGCTGCCGGCATATTGGGGGTTTGGGCTTAGGGGTTTAGGGGCTTAGGGTTTAGGGGTTGGGGTTTAGGGTTTAGGGGTTTAGTGTTTAGGGGCTTAGGGTTTAGGGGTCTAGGGGTTTAGGGATTTAGGATTTAGGGTTCTTCACATGAAGGTTTAGAGTGTAGGCTGTGGTTTCATGAAGGTTTATAAAGGGCTTAGATAAGTTTCATACGGATTGTGGCTTAAGGCCGTGCTGCTGGTCTAGCGTCAGCCCCTTGTCGGCATCGCTTGTGGTACCCCTCAAGCCCTGAAGCTCTACACCATAAAACCCTAAACCCGAAAAATGCAAACCCTGAGAGGGTTCAACCTAAACCCTAAGCCCTACCTAGCTACCACAGCCGACTTGTTTGTAGGCTCTTATCATAAAGCCCGAATCTGGACCTCTAGGGACCCTACTATCAGTAGTTCAGGGTAGACCATCTTTACAATCTGAACACTCTAAACCCTGAACCCCTAAATCTGAAGCCCTGAACCTTATACCCAAACCCTAAGCCCTAGACCCTGAACCTTATACCCTAACCTTAACAGGCCTAAACCCTAAACCTTATACCCTAGCCTTACAAGCCCTAAACCCTGAACCTTATACCCTAACCTTAAAAGCCCTGAACCCTAAGCCAACTTTACAGCCCTGTGAGCAAGCCCTGAACCTTAATTACACACTAAGCCTGAAGCCATACACCTTATACCCTAACTTTAAAAGCCCGAAACCCTAAACCTTATACCCTGACCTTATAACCCTGAACCCTAAGCTTTATACCCCAACCTTAAAAAGCTCTAAACCCTAAACCTTGTACCCTAAACCCCTAAACCCTAAACCCTAAACCCCTAAACCCCTAAACCCAAACCCCGAAACCCTAAGCCAACTTTAGAGCCCTGTGAGCTTTCCACGGCAAGGCTTGGCCTGGCCACTCGCTGTGCGAAGCGCCGAAGGCGGGGACTCGAGTGCACCCAGGGTCTGCCTTGCTTTAGGTTTTTGGGTTTAGGAATTAGGGTTTAGGGAATAGGGTTTAGGAGTTAGGGCTTAGGTTTTTGGGTTTAGGAGTTAGGGTTTAGGGCTTAGGGGTTTAGGGTTTAGGCTTTTGGGTTTTAGGGTTGAGGGTTGTGGGCTTAGGGTTGAGGGTTGCGGGTTGTGGGCTTAGGTTTCAGGGTTGAGTGCTGAGGGTCGTGCGGTTTAGGTTTTAGGGTTGAGGGTTGCGGGTTCAGGGTTTTGTTGTTGGTTCTTTGATTTTTCTTGTTGGGAGTGGAAGGTTTATTCATAGGCACGCTCTTCGCTTTTAATCCTTTCCGTGTGGTTGTTTTAGGCTTCAGGGCTGACAGTATTTGAAGTGCTTTCGGGGTTGAGGGTGAAACCCTTGTAGGGCATTAAGGTGTGCTTTCATGGCGTTTTGGGGCACAGAGGTATCGCGGGGATTGTGAAGAAGGCTTTTCCGGTCTACGGTTTGGTCCAGGGTTCTGGCCTGTGTCAGTATGGCATTGTACCTGGAGTGTAAGGTCTCACTCTTTTCAAAGGACTCTACGGGGTTTCTTCCACGACATCTGAACTTCACAAGCTTTATAGGATGTGAGAGGGTTGCCGGCGTGCTTTTTTCTAGCCCGTCTGATTGCCCCTGTATTGCTGGGCAGGTTTCGGGCTGCGTGAAGGGTTCATTTTGTCTTTTGCAGGTCTCGAAGGCCTGGCTCTGGCATGGCATTTGGAGGGTTCCTGCACTCTTGAATGCGGTTGTAGACATTTTCACGGGTCCCGGTGACCTGTTTGTAGGGATTTACGGGGATTTCAACCATGATGGTTTCTCGCGTGATGTCAACATGAATCGAAATCGGAAATCTTTGCCTGGAAGCTTGGATCTTTCGGGACTGCATGATACACCCGCAGACTCAAATATAGCTTGAGCAACTCCCGTATGAAGGAGTCCTAAAACACTCTACGGAATATCCCTTGAGGGGCGTTCCCTTACCATACTGTGATACTTGGATGTTTAGGATTCTATAGGGTAGTTGTATACGGGGGAATGTAATATGGATATTCCCGAAACCCCGACTAGCTTGGCCCAAGCAGGCAGCCCCTAAACCGCACTAAGCCTCTTGAGTCTTTGTTAAGGCCGTACTCAGAGAACCCAAGACCCCTTGATTAAAGAATTTGCCTTAAATCATAATATTGAGGCCCCTATAGTTTAAGGTATATTGCTTAATTAAGGGGTATTGGGATCTCTGTGTATTTTGCCCTAAACTTGAGACCCTAAACCCACTCAGCCTATGCTTCTGGGACTCGTGAACCATAGGGTTACGATTGCTAGGCTGTGAACACGAAGCCTGGTGCCGCTTTTCCTTCCTACGGTTGATGATATAAATCCTGCATTACCCTAAGGACCCTAAACTATGAGAATTATGGTATATTCCTTATGTGAGCTCACCAAGATTCCTCAAGAGCTCTATATACACTCACCAATACCCAAACCGCTTCTTCTTGAAGCTCTCCACCTCGTGCAAACCATCGAAGAGTCGCAAACACACCCTATAAGCAAACACTGCCTCATGCGCGGTTTTAGAGAATCAGG